ATACTTGTAACTAGAAGCTTATAGCGTCTGAACATACGCGAAGAGATGATTTTTATAGTTATAAAGCTACTGTAATTTATGACTGTCTACCCGTATAAAATGATATAAGTCTTCTGTCCTGTTTAGTGAATTAGTGTTCCCACATTTGTTCTTTTGCACGTAATCTGACGAGGTTTTTTCCCGTTAGCTATGTTTTCAGATACTCTTGATTCAAGTTCTTAAAGTACCTTCAGATTTATATTTTTTTATCTCCTAAGTCAAATGATTTCTGCAGCGTTGTAGCAGCCATCTATCGAGTGGTTCAAGTTTTAAAGAAACAGTATTAAACAGTTAATGCTCTTTTTTCATCATTGAAAAAATTACTTTCAGGGGAATTTCATGTTTTTTATTCCTTGAACTCGCTTTTCTTGCCGCTTTTTCTCTAAAGTTAAGTAATGGAAGCTACTTAAGTATTGGAAGTATTCTTTCGACTAAGTTTATGGTGTTAATAATTTTGCTTGTTTAACACGTAAAGGGAATTACACTTAAGTCACATTTTTATTGCTTTTTTTTTGGCACGCAGACTGTATACAAAGTAAAAAGTTTTTCATCCTGTAATCAGTCGCAAAATACACCTTTTCGTACTTTTTAAGCAGCTTAATTGTTTTGCCAGTCACCTTCCTCTTTTCTATGGGATTTGGTACTGTTATAAAAAGAGGTTCCTATAGCAGTTTGTGTATACGTTAGGCAGAATTTTCACTTGGGGGGTATTCATAGAATTTTGTAGGAGAAAAAACTGAGAACAGAATTTGCAAAGGCGGGTGATTTTTTTAGAAACCTGAGCGGAACAAAAGGCTTTTAATGGTCCGCAGGTGAATTATGTTAAAACCCCGCTATTCTCACAGAAGGAAGGCCGCTGAGTCGCAGCGAATTTTTGATGGTCAGTGCCGTTCGAAAGGCGACTTTCACAGAAATAAGGTACAGCAGCTGAATTCTTCCATTTAGAGTTATGTCTTAGTAAACGTCTGCGTAAAAGCTTCTAGAGTTTAAATACTAGTGGGGCAGGAGAGTAAGTGTGCAGAATTAAAGGCCAGGTCATTTTTCATTATGAAATTTTTTTCGGATGTATCAGAAGTTTCTCCTCATTAATCAGCTACCTTTGAAGTTGTAAACATTTTTGTTTTCACATGTCTGTATTTAACAACATAAAAAGCTGTGAAGGAATTAATGTTTAGCTAACCTCGGCCACCAAGAAATAATTGTGGATCGGGGTCTGTTTCCTAG